ACCCTTTGTAATATGAGTATTTTAGGTTCTAGACTAAGCACTTAGATGTCCTCAATTTGTTGTAGTCTCATTTTTTGCCTTGCATCAGTAATATTTCAGGGATTTTGCAGCAAAGTCTATCCTTTACCATTTCCTTCTACAAACTGATAGCATAATCAATGCTGGCAATCAGAAAATCTAGACAAATGTAGTAAGAGACATTTACTTTGGCCTCTTTAAAATGAGACCGCGTGTGACGTGATGTTAGTCCATTTAATAAGTAGCATTTATTTTAGTAAACAAAAAAGAGTGTCAGAGTTCATATGAAAAGAGCTTATAAGAAACAACCACCATCAACACTAATGGAATTCCATGGGAACATAAACTACCAAAATTATTGATGGAGGCTAGGTGGAGAAATGATGGTATGTCTTCTGACACACTAGTGCACTGTACATGGCAGATGAGAAAAGCAGTCTAAGATTGAAACAACTCTGGTCTGAAGAGAAATGAAAATAACAGACTACTCAAAAACAACTTGTGCTTAAACAAAACACCTATCAAGGATCCCTAAAAAAAAGAAAGCAAAATTATCCTAAAAGAGATAACTCTATGCAGTTCTTGTTTTTAATTGTAATAATTTAACAAAAACATGTTAACAATCATGTTCCAAAAAATACTTAGTTCCAAATGGCACATGGTAGATTCCTAAATAAAATGACCAGAAATTTTAAAATATCATCACAGCATATTCTCACACTCACAGATTTTGTCATTATTAGGGGAAGAGAAAAAACATCTCATTGTTTCAGCCAGAGAAATGACAGATGTGCAACTTCATCTTTAGAAACAGGAGAGCTAATATTGTTAGCACAAATGATAAATGTTGGATGTTGCTGGATTTTAACCACAGCAATCTCCTTCATTTTTGCTGTCAACATTCCCAAAAGCATTGCAGATTTTTGAATGACTTGGTTATTGGATTTTGCTGTGTTGTACTCTTGTACAGAGCACTAAAATATTCTTCAGATTTAAAACCTAATTTAGTTATTTACATAGAAAAGCAAGTAAGTTCATATTCACATCAGTTTAAACATGCTTACAAGTAAAAAGTTGAGTTGTGCTAGAGTAGAAAGTAGTTAAGCATGAAAAAATAAATTATCCAAGATGGAATTTTATTTTGGGATCACTTTTATTCAGATGTAAATACTAGCTATAAGGCAGTTTTTAAGCTAAGGCATCAAGAATAAAAATGTTCTGAAATTTTAATTTAATAATGAATTATTTTCCATCTCTTCTACTGCTAGTTTTCCTCTACAACTGCTTCTAAATTCTACAATTACATCAAAATCACAGGACTCTGAGTGATGTCCTACTGCTCATCCATTTTTGACAAAGCTGTATTGTCAGATATTGACCTGCAGCTCACAAGAACTTCAGTATCAATTACTTCTGTGGGGTGACAACGGCTTAGAGAGATAAATTTGTTACTAACACACTGTAAACATGAAGAGTTTAGCATAGGTACTGTAAAATTTGACTGTAACAAACAGTGCCACAAAAATTGATGAAAAAATTTCAGCATGTAATAGATATGAGAATGCATGCAGGCTGCAGACTTCTTATTTTTAGCCATAAAAATTGTATCAGTGTTACAAAAATACCTAGTGATTTCCTTTCAAAGGCATTTTCATTAATGAAAAACCATTCAGTGCTACCCAGTGCAGAGAGACTATGCCTTGCAAGCCAGAGATTAACTGATACGTAGATTCCTTAGCTCAGAAATTGATTTTAGAATAGTAGTTTCTTTGTTGTATAGGTTTTTCATGTATTTTCTTTATTTAACTTGCTGTAATAGTTTGTAAAAATATGGCTGAGCTTTGAATATCCAAGGAATACTTCCACCATCACTGAGGACTGGCTTCCATCAAAAATTTGATAAGTAAATGTAAGAAAATTGCTTTGTTTTGCACTGTAAAATTTTATTTTTTATTTTTGACATTTCTTTTTAGGATGACATAATTTCACAATAAAAATAAATTATTTTGTCTATTTAGTAAATATAATCTCAAAAGTAATTAAGTACTCTCAAGTCCGCTGTAAAAAATTAAGAACTGAAGGGCATAAAATTTCTAGCTTGTTCATGTGACTATTATTTGATGCTAAAATCAATGGTCAATGCATTTTTGAAAGCACAATATTTGAGCACTGTATTTCAGGACAGCATTAAAAAAACAAATGCCTAATACTAGCTTATAAAGACTGTATGTAGTTGGTACATACATAAAAAATTGCCTGATTTACCAAACGCTAAACAGAACAAAGGTTTAAACCATCATTTTTTGTGTGTGCGATACCACATTTTTGATTACTGAAAACCACTGCTTTGGGGAAGAATTGAGTCAGAGGCTATTAAAGGGTTAAAGTATAAAAAATTTGGCTACCAAAAGTAAGAGCAATTTTTAAGATGTGAAATATACAAAATGTTTTTATTTAAAAAGTATCTGCTTTTCTACTTTAAAAACTGAAACTGTGCAGAAGAGTATTATTTCAGACCAATATGGAAAAAATATTATTTCTTAAACCACAAAGGGACAGTTTCACATAATGTCATGAATGGAACTTTAGCCCTCAGTAAAGAGGAAACAAAATTCACTTTGTAATATGAACCTCTATCAAAGGTGGAAGAGAGACAAATATTACATGCTATCTAGACTGCCTTGCCAAGAGGGTCAATTTAAGAAAGAATTTCCTGGTTTTGGAGTCCATAAGTCTACTCAGTAATTTTTTTATTTTTTTTATTTTTTTAATTTTTTTTGTGTGTGGTTTGACATATCTTGTGTTCTTCCACACAAGAGATGTGTGTTTTTATTTTAGAAAATTTTATAAATTATAAATAAATTTATAAAATTTTATAAATTTTATGAAAGGATATAGAACTGATGAAAACCCATTTACATGGGCAAAGGCGTGAGTACTAAGCACTGAATATACTTTAAGTTTTAAAGCCAAAATTATTCATGCAGTAGTAATTTCTGTCCTGTACAGTAGATAATTCCATTCAATACTCAGTGTAATAGAGAGCAAGATCAGACTGCTTATCTTTAGTTTTCTAGCAATATAAAGCAGTAGTGATCCTGTTTAAAGAATACATACTTCAGATTTCTAAGTTACAAGTCAGGAAAAAATGTATAAATACCTAAAATGGTAAGATTTTTACAAATTTCTTAGGAAAAAAAGGAAATTTTATTTCTGGTATTACTTCTCAGCTAAGACACTTAAAGCCCCATTTATATACCGACAGGCATTTTCATGTCCAAAAAAAACATTTAAACTTTGGTAAAACAGTTAGGGTATCCATCAGCAATCCATGCACCAGACCTTGTTACCACCTGAGGTGTTTTGAGAGCATGATTTACCGCTTCATAATATATTTCAAAGTGACATTTCTATGTTTTGGCCAGAATTTGTAGGTACCATAAAGTCTGCAAGCTGGTGACATTTCATTTTTCAATTTTTTAAGTTTCAGCAGACCAAACCATTTAAAATATTTTAACTTCCATATTTCCACCTCTGCTCTGATCTAATAAAAAAAATAAATTATAAATGTTGGATCCACTTAAGTTTAGTTTATAGTAGCTACAGCTTAGCTAAACTCCATTTCATGACATCCACACTCTTTGTAGAGAGTAGAAGTTTATTTGTTAATGTTTTTCCTGTCCCTGTCATGGCCTTTGAGATCAGAACAGATGGATGTGCGTGTTTTGTTTTCTTGACCCTCTGAATGAGCAGATGGGCCAGAAGTCTGCAAAAAGCCAATGCCAGCACTACCATGCACATCATAATACACAACAAAAGATAAAGAAAACTTTTTAACCAAATCAATTTTTTTTTAATTTTAAGCAATTTAAGTTCATGGAAAATGAACGGAGAATAAAGTCAGTATTTTTCTCATTTCTGTGTCTGATTTTGATGTTCTCAGCATGTTGTTCTGTTTGAGACAGGTTGAACACAAGGTGATTGTCAAGGAAGTGCACTGTCCAGAGCACCCATTGAGACTACAGAATGCTTCATCAGAGTATTAAAAAAAAAAAAAGTCCTCTTTTGAGATGGCACATCATGGCCTGTGAATTATACCTGAGACACCTACAGTGCTAAAAAATGACAGCGTTTCAGAGAAGAAACAAGCTTCCTGAATATGACAAAAGACTGAAAAACAAAATTCTTTGAATGGTGTTAATGTTGCTACAGTACTCTTGATAGCTTTGGCAAATCTTTTAAGGCCCTATATCAGTGATCCAGCTAGAAGTAGCTGAGAGGAGAATAAAACAAGAACCATCAGAAACGCTTGCATTTCCTTAAACAGAAGAAAATTCTTCTGTGATTTGCTCTTTGAGACCACTGTAATGTAAAATTATGTCCAATTTATATAGAATAGTGATATCTGAACAAATACAAGGGTGCAACACTGTATTTCCACAGTATTTTACAATCAACATGACACATCTTTTCTAACGCAGGACAAAACAATAAATAAATGAACATTAAACACTGCTTTTAAAATTTTCACAGCCACATAGAAGTGCCTTTCAACATTCTTGATACAGATGGGTGAGATTCAGATTCTTTAAAGTGCCTCACCAAGGCTATCTGATAAAACTCTTCTGGCCAAAAGAATAACTCTAGACAACTTATAATATATGCTGAACCTGAAACCAAGATGTGAATTTTCATTCGCTTTGAGAATTTTTTTTTTCCTTCTTCCTTAAATGATTTTTTTCAAACTGAGGGACCTAAAATCACAAATGTGTCTGCACAACACTGTATAATGACTCTCTCTCATAATAATAGGCAATTTCTGAATATTCTTTCATTATTAATAATGTTATTAAACATAATAAAAAAACAAGTGTCAGAACAATTCCTGTATAGGGATAAATAAACTCATAGCAAAGAGATCACAGGTATTTCACTTCACAGTATTTCAGGAATACAATCAATTTAGTCTAGGAGGACTGCAGAAACAGATGAAATTACCACTGTTCAAAAAACCAAAGAAAAGTAGAATGGAATTTACCACAGAGAAAACTGGTGTAGCTTAGTAAAATATTCTACTGCTTTCCTCCTTCTGCTTGCAGCTTCATTTCACTAACAGCAACATTAGGAGAATCTTCCTTGGTGGCACTTGCATCCAAAGGAACCATCCCTTTCATAAGTGCTAGAAATAAGTCACACAAAAAAGGTGATTAAGCATCTTCAGTATCACACATTAAGTCAGTTAGACTCAATGATCTTAGAGGCCTTTTCAAACTTATGATTCTCAGATTTGGTTGACTGACTATTAGTTTTTATTTGAAATGTGTATTTCATTATATGATATTATAATTTATTCAGCAAGTAATATGGTGTTAATAAATATTTAATATTCATAAGGCTATGAATTGAGAAACTGACTTATTTTTCTAGAGACATTGATTTTAATACTCTATAATACAGGCATAGCCAAGAGCTTTCTTATACACAAGAAATGTAGACTGTATTTTTTAAAAATTGGTTATTCCACTAAGATATATTTTCCATTTATTTTTCCATAATTTTTATTTAAGTAAGACAAACCTCTCAAAAAAAAATTTGTGAAGGAATATGTTTACCAACAGCATGGACTTAAGTCACCACATGACACTGAGCAGATGCTCATACAATGTCATACTGTGTATATACCTTCACAGGGTACACATATAGTGCTTATTTCTAAATATATTGTATTGCATCAAAATCCAGACAATATAAATTGACAAAATATCTTATAATAAAATGCTGAAGAAAAAAAATCAAATATCCAAACATTTAACAAAATGTAAAAATTAAGGGAAGGAAAGTGGCTACCACCTTATACAACATACCCTTCTTCTAATGGCCTTCTTTATAGCATAAGCATTTAAGAAAGTGGTCCTACTGAATATTCAGAGCACAAGTTTTAATGATCCAGTAAAACTGACGCAGTACATAACCAAAAAAAAAAGTTATACATAACCAAAATAAGAAGAGCCTTAAGAACTTATTAAAAACTGTACATAGAGAGATAAAGACAGGCATCATCGATACAGTGCAAGAGTTAATTGTTATGACAATAAAGCCTACATTCAGGACAACTTGATTTTATTCAGCTGTGGTATCAGTCACACTACATACCATGCTGACACAAGAGTGTTGTCTATCACAACTTATGATGAAGCCCTGGAGCATAAATTCCCAACAACAATAGAAAGCCTCTAAGACATATGGTTTCTGGGAAACCATCCAGGTTAAACCCTCAAAGTGATGAAATGTGCAAAGAGAAAGGCAGGACTCATTTCACAAAGCTAATGCAGAGCATGTGTAACTCTAGGGACTTTTGTACTCAAAATTTCAGGAAAATACAGTGGCAGTAAAAACAGTTTCTGAGGATTATTCTTTAGATTACAACTAGTAGTGACTGTCTAGACCAACCATTTTAGTGTGATAATACTGTAGACTGCAAACTACATCTAGAATAAATTCTCATTTAAACATCTTCATTTCTTAGAAAATGGGTAAAGAAACAAAAGCACGTCCCTTCAACATATTTTAAAATATGTTTGTAATGGAAAACCTATTATAATTGCAGAAATTATACCAGAAACAAAACACAATGTTGATGTTAATTACTTTAGTTTTAACTGCTTCCTGCATTGACAACTTTTTAATAAATATATATATATATATATATATATATATATATGGAAACATATTGTTGTTCCCTTATTTGTTTTCCCTTATTATTTGTCCTTCTTTTTTCAACCAGTTTTAAACTTAAATACCATGATCTCCCTCACAGATAAGTTAAATTATATCAAATGAGTCTGCTCTTCTTCCAGGTGCTCTCTACAAATCATAGGAGACCCACACTGGGAAGGAAGCTTCTAGTACTAGTTATTGACTCTACAGTCTCTAAGGCTTCATGAATTGAAGAGAGATGGAATGGGGAAACATAAATCACAAAGGCTTGAAAACTGCTCCAAAAGATAAATGAAAGAAAAAAAATCCATCCTTCTGTTTCTGAAGGAGACAATTAATCACAGAAAACAGATGATGACATGTATAGGAAGATTTATTAAAAGCTACAGTAGGTTTGGGAGCAACGATGTCAAATTATACTTCACTGTCAAAGTCTCAAATGATAATTAATTAATATCATTACTGAAATTAAAAGTTCATGATGTTTTTGTGATTATCATGACTTTTAATTGGCCACTCACTGGAAAATCTCCTTAATGCTAATACCACTGCAGAATTTTCACTGTCCTCAAGAACTATACCAACAACTTCAAAATACAAATTTGACTGGTGGAAATCAGTTTCAGCTTAAAGTGAAAATCAGTCACAAACCAAAGTCTGTGGAGAAATCCACATATTTTAGTGCCATAAGCACTAAGTAGTGAACTGAATCACCACTGTCTTTTTTTAATCACTTATTTTTTTTATCTCCAGAAAATTTAGTACTTAGTGCTGGTTAAAAATAGTTGAATCAGAATATAAATATGCAGAACTCTTATCAGATTGGTATTCAGATCACATGGATCCTATTTCTCTTAAAACTGCCTAAAATTTATTTAAAAGTTTTAAAGCAACAAAGTTCTAGCTTGTTTAATATAAGCAGTATAAAGACATTGTCATATTTTAGGAACATTTATGCTGCATTTTCAAGTTTCAGTAAATTTTCGTAAGGAATCACTTCTGGAATTCTTGAGATTGGAAGGGACTGCTGGAGGCCATTTATCTGGACATGCTGTGAAGCATCAGTTACTTCTTTTCTATACTCAAAACAGGCTCAGCTTTGCTTTGATTTGCAATACTGACAGAGATGAGGTTTGGGAAAACGATAAAATCAACTCTGAGTAAAGGTAAAGTGTTCCTGAAGTACAGATGATACAGAGGTATTTGCTACTATGCTTTATTCCTACTGTTGTGATTGCCACTATTCCTATTTTGTTATCAGTTTTACTCTGCAGAAAGATACTAACTCCAGCTCATAGATTCTGAAAAGAGAATAGACCAATTGCCTTTAACCTCATCAGATCAGCTCAGGACTTACTGGTGAGCAGTAATGTACCAAAGCACTCACTCTAAGATGCAATGTTTTCATTGTGCAATGAAGCCTGAAATAGGACTTTCCACTACATAGAATGCCACTTTCTAAATAGGTTCCCAGTACACAAGCTAGCTATATTGAAAAGAAATGGAAGATGATACCCTTCTGAAGAGAAGTATTTTGATATTCATGTATTGATATGCTCAAAAAAACCCCCTTAAAGACCTAGGTTTTAAGTTACTTTTGACACTTATGCAAAGGTGTGCCTATGTACCCAATCAAGACCTAATACGTCCTATGTTTTATTAAGCATTTCCCACCCATATCAGAGATCCCATGACTTCACATGAACTTAAGTTGTATATGCACAGGGTGGGTAGAGAAAAAACAGTTAAAAACACTATTGAAGTAGAATTAGTGAATTCAACTTTCATTGTCAAAATATTACACAAGCGTAATACTAACAGGTGCACATGAAAGATCTTGGAAAGAATCCATGTTTGAGAACATCTCTCTGGTCCCTCAGAAGACACACAACAATGAGTCAGGTATGACCCATTATGCAGACATTCAGAATTCAAGGGCAGCCCTTTTCCTTGGCATAGGTTTGGGTGACAAAAAAATATACCGTATGTCCCAGTCAAGAAAAAACCAAACAACTATCAGTGGGATGTAATGAAGTACTTCCTAGGCAAAGACATCCATCCAGCATCTAAAACTAAAACACAGAAAGGATGGTTCTAGCACTTCTTTTCTGAGAAGCAGTGTCTCATTCGTTCAAATAAAAAAAGGTCTTAGAACAAAAAAATAAGTTACCTGTAGATTTTTTGCTGTGATATAATACTTACAACCTGAACTTGAAAGCGGTGAGCTGCACAAAAAGCTGTTTGGAGTTCGCCAACTGGAAGAGTGAGCAACCACTTCTATATCAGAAATTTCAGCATCCCTTTTCACATCCTATAGGAACAAAATAAAAATAATTTTATCTGTTACTATAAAACATCTGCAAACTTTACAAAAAGCATACAGTAGCACACATACAGGCACATGCTGTGATTTCACACACACTGGAAAAGACTGATTTGAATCTCTGAATTCTCAGTATTGCAGTTAGGTTCAAATTAATTTGCTTACAAGTTTTATCCCCATTTCACCACTATAGCAAGTTGTAAAGATGTTCTTTCCTGGTCACATCACATCCACAGTTCAGGACATACCATATCAGCAGGACAGACATCAGTGAATGATGACTTCCTCATTAATGAATGGTTCATACTAATTCACTGAAGTTACACAAGTAGTAATAAATACAAATCTATTTTCTCTGCCCCTAAGGAAACTTAAAAGTTCATTGATTTCTCATATCAAAAAACCTAAAAGTGCTTTTGAATTCTTTTGTTAAACCATTAAATAAAGTCTGAAGTACAATGTTATTATTTATGTCTAAACCCATATAGCATAGCTTCTTGGTGAGGAAAGTCATTTGGTCTATAAGCTAAAAAGAGAAGATAAATTTAAAAAGGTCATTTAAACAAAAATCCCTGAAAAATCTCTATTAGCTCTGCAGCAAGTAGTCCCCAGTTACAATACCATCCAAAATAAGATTAAAAACTTGGCTTGGTATCCAAATTACTCAGTTTCTTGAAATGAGAAGAGGTTATAATGAATAAATGCATCAGTTCATAAAACACACAATTTTACTGCTGAATTCTTATCATAGACAGCCTTAGGGAATTTTGTTAAAACATCTTGCAATTTATTGTTCATGCTGATACTAAGATTTGAAAACTAAACAGAAAAAAAATAATTCTACATTAATTTAGAGATACAATGAGCTTTTGTTTCATCATTGAAGGATTTACTCCTATTAAGACTAATGGGAATTATACATATTAATCCCCTTATGTGCTGATGAGAGACTTAATACCTAAAGTGTTCATAACACAATAACAATTTTTAAAGAATAAAAAAAGTTTTTGTCTTTCCATACTGCTTGCAGAAATGCTTTAAAAGAAAAGCTCTTAAACAAGAAAGGTGCTTCTACCAGTATCTGCAATACAAAATGCTTTTCTCTTTACAGAAATATTAATGTACAGAATGTGACTTTTGTCATGTGTTTCACTGAAAATTACATCTGTATGTTGTGTTTGAGTAGATGTTTAATGGTCTGTGGCAGAGAAACTCTCCTAAAATACTTATATCTTTACATCAAAACAGTTATCTCTAGTTTTCCTCTGGCTTTCTCTTTTGATTTTGCTTCTGTTGTTATTTTCTTTTAATACATTATGTTTATAAGTTTTCCTCCCAGTTTCATCTTTATCTATTGTTATTTGGCCCTTTCTTAGTTGAAAAATCAAGATTGTTGTAGCTGATGGTATTTTGCCAGACTATGGCCTACTTTTATTACTGAAAACCTTCCATCTTAACACATACAAATAGAAATGATGATTTTTCTGGGCTTCTAAGCAACAGGTATTTTAAAGCCATTTGACAAGACTACAGAAGAGTAGGAAGATTGAGTGGGGACAAAAGAAATGACAAGAAAGAAAAAAACCTGCTTTCAGAGGAACATTCAACTTTGGTTTAATTTTTCCTCCTTAAAATGAAAAAAGGCTGGGACACAAGATTAGATAATGCCTGTCTGAGATCAATGTTGGCAAGCAAGCTGAAACAAGTGTATCATGAGAAAGGCTAGACAGAAAAACATAACAGAGGAGAAAGATTAATTCCAGAAGTAATTTCATCTAAAATGATCAATGTAAAAATTTTATAAGAAACATAGATTTTCTTATCACCTATCAAATATCTGTCTACTTTGTACAGCAGGGCCACTATGTGCACAGTGTGAACCAAAAATATCAGAAAGAATTCAACTTTGTCATCCTCAAACCTACACTCTTCCAGCAGTTAATTTTAGAGACTCTCAACTTACAAACAGTAAAGTTAAAAAAAAAAAAAAAAGGCATTTGAGTTAGTTTCAAAGGAGGGTAAGAAAGGCAAGCATTAAAAAGTTTTTTTTGTCTAAGCTAGCCTGATCACCGAAATCAGATTAGCACCCGTCTGTTACTTGGTTTTGAACATTCTGTTCTATTTGCAACAGCCGTGACAGCAAAGCGTACTGTATGTCATGCAAAAACCCAATTAGGCCTGACTAAATGGAAGCTATTAAATGCTCTCGGTTGTCTAAAGAAAGAGAATTGTTTTGGAATCAGCTTTGTACTGGATTCTGATTATTGAGTTCAAATCACACAAGCTCAGTAAGTTCAGTCAGCTTAGTACAATGTTATGTTCTACCGTCAGCTGATTGCATTCCACTTAGCTTTTCAATGTTTTCCAAATTTCAATAGCTACTGATTAAGTAACGCTTGTGTGGAGGGAAGAGAAATTCAAGGTACTGAAGATTATCATCAGCAACAGACTGATTGTGCCTGTTTCCTTCTTTCAATTCTTTCTTACAGAAGAGCAAGATGGCACTTTCAAGTAACTTAATACCTTCAATAGCAACTTACTAAGCTGAAATATTCTTTATTTATTTTACCTTTTCCACTTTTTAAAAGACGCTGTAAGTATGTCCTCATTTTGCAGAGGAAGACAGTTACAGATAAGTTGGGGAACACATCATTTTGATAGACTGTGTGATTCTTGATTTGAGCTCAATTGCTTAGAGACACAGGAATGATACACTGCCAGAGAAACTGATTTGATTGAGATATGTAGCAGAAATACTAGTATGATTCTTCAGGTCTGATCACTTATTTCAATCACTTCCATAAGAAAACATAGTTCTGCTGAAGTAAGCTGCTATCACAATGACAGTGATATGACAATGAACAAGCTAATAAGGGAAAGAAAGCATGTTAATAATTAGAAAGCTGAACTCATTACAGGCAAAGTTTCTAAAGAAGTGCACTGGATTTGTATTGTTAGTTATTCATGCTCAGCACTGCTATAAGTCCAGTGAGTGACCTTCAGCAAATCACTTCCCTTCTGTTTGCCTGGATTTCATTTATGTATGAAAGAGACATCACACAGAATCGTTTGCAAAAAGTGCAAATAACTACTGAAAAATTACTAGTCAACAGGTTTCTATATCTTTTACTTGAAAGGACAAGAGAAAATTGAACAAAACAATTAAAAAATTAAAAAATAGACAGCAATTTGACAAAGCAGGAAAACACTTCAGAGTAGTGAGACACAGTAAGATACCTTTCTGTGAAAGTTGAAAGATTTTTGGAAAGTACACATGGCACTTAAAATGAAGACAACTCTTAATTCATCAAATTTCATGCCATGTCAATATACCCTGCCATGCCATCAGTCTTGGTAGCTATATGAAACAGAAACATTTGTGAATCATTTCAGTCTGTGCTTGTACTAGGAGTTAATAAGGTAAGGTTATGTTACCGATTGAAAGTAATTGGGACACAAAAGTGGAGTACACACACATACCTTGACTTGCCTGACTCTTTGCTTTGAATCTTTCAGCTGTTGCTGCAAAGAACTCACTATGTCTTTATACTTCATATACCTCTCCTCAATCATCTCCATTCGGAAATGGGACTCCTAGAAATGCATTTAAAGATTTAGATGATTTCACAATTTGAAAAGTAGCTAGAAATTCTGACTATTGTAAACACCAGTATTGTCAAGGATTTTCACCACAGCAAGAATGAATTAAGTACTAACTATCAGAGGCTGAACTACAGGGGCCGTACAAAAGCATACTGTTCTGTACAGAAAAATAATCTTAAAATACATGTAGATTAAAATGGAAATGGCCTGATCATTAATTGGTGAAAAACTTCTTGTAACCCTTTCCAAACTTCAGCAATATCGTACCTTCTAACAAAAATTCTGTAATGAATTTTTTTGAATTAATGAATTTGTAATGAAAAATTAATTACAACAATACAGAAACAAGCACTTGAAGAAGAAAGGGTTCTAAGGATATGGAACAACCAGTATTTTCAATAATTCTTCTCACTGGACTAGCTAATGATTCACGTGAATTAACAAATCTCCTAGACAACCTGAGAGGTTTATCAAAACTTACTTCCTCTTTCATTCTCCCTTCCTATGAAAACATTGAGGGACAAACTTGCTAGTTATTGAATAAAAAATTCCAATATGTTATTTGCAAATAGCATAAAGCTTAGCTTTCTAGGATAATAAATTATTTCTTAAACAAAATACTGTGTTGATAGGGACTTATCTTCAGAAAACCATCTTTAAAAAATTAAGCATGATGGAGAAGGAGAGTCCAATTGAAACCAAAGATTTTGCATTCCAATCTCACAAATATTGGCTAAGTTATAACTAGAGAAAACCAGAAAATTACTTGCCCTTGAGAGAGAGGGCAAGTGGGAAGGAGATTGCAGATGCCTGCTGAGAACAAAATTTTTCCTTTAGTAGAAACAGAAGGTAAACACAAACCTCTGTCAGAGGGAAAAAGCTCTTCTGGGGATACCTGAAATGTGAAATTAAAACTATGCATCTCAACAATACAATATTGTTCATAAAAAACCCCAAACATTTTAACCAGTACTTGCATTACCAAATCTGTTGATGGTGACAACAATAGAATGGTGTAGAATTATTAACTGATGACCTCGTGCAGGAACACAAAATAAACAATGCTCCTAACAAGTTTCAAAATGTTTATGACAACCACAGATTAAGAAATTTTAAGTATCAAATAAAATGCAAATCCTTATGCATTTGTTGATCTGTGGTTTAATACTGATCTAAAATTTATATTGTGCAAGGAAGTTACAAATTCTTTTTTATTAAACCACACATTCCATAAATGGAAAATAACTATAGTACAGGGGCTTAGCCACTTAGCCAGTGAAAATATAATCTGAAGCTTATCACTATCAGTCAGTATGTCACCACTACTGTCAGTATGCCCTACTGTCTCCAAACACATCTTGATTGGGTAGTGGTGCTGAGAATGTCAGTGACAAGTACAATCATTATGTCAAAGCAAAACAAATAGTTGTAAAGATCATCCATCTTCACTCATTAAGTTAATAATTGAAACAACTGGCATAATTTATTTAATCATAAAATTTTCATTTGTAACATTTAATATCAGAATTTACCACTCAATAAAAATATTCTGAAACAGTAATTAACACATAGCCTGTTCTGCCCCATTATCAGTGTTTGCCTACATTATGGAGCAGTGTTAATAATTAGAACTAAATTTATAACTTCAAAAAGATCCATAGAAACATGAAAATAAATTTCAATATGTTTCTGTCTATATAATAAGTACATATGCAACTGTAAATATCTTATTAAACCACTTAACTGTACATTCATAGAGAATATTAATTAACCAAAATATTTTAGAAGTACTGAGAGAGTCAAATGAAATCTTTCTCACTCCAGTATCTTTGCGATCTTCTAACAGGCTCAGTTTCTCAGGCACAGATTCCAGGTGGTTTAAAGCTACTCGGGTACTCTAAAGAACAGAACACAAGTTGAAACATTAAAAATGAATCTATTCTTTCAGCCATCTCATACATTAAAAACTTCAGTCTTATTAGGGTACTAGTTCAAGCTTCCTCAGAGTGTTGATTTGCCTTGAAGCTCCATCACCTGTAGCTGTGGCACTCACTGAAGCAGCCATGTCAGGGGCTCCAGCCAGCCACACCTCCTGATGGGAGATGGAGCTCTCCAGGTCAGAGGCTGCCACGAGTGCCTGATGCCTCTTCATGAGGCAGGGCTGACAGTTCTTTTGCAGAAGGTGAGCTGTATTTGAGGAGCTGGTCACCAGATGAAGGAGTGACAGGAGTAAGTGAACAGGCTATGTTGTGTTTGAGCAAACAAGCAAAAGAGACTGGTATTTTCAGAGTCTCGCAGTCTCAAGACTCTCAGGAGTCATGAACCTCCATTATAGTGGAGAAGCAGATGGACACAGAACCGTGCAGGGTAATGAGTCAAAGGACTGTTAGCCAAGGATCTGTTAAAGATGAAGGCTGGAAGCAGGTGAGGGCATGTCCTAGGAAGAAGGTTCCTCCACCTTCTCAGAATTTGACAGGTAGGACTGGCACCTTCCACAATACATACGAGGCTCTAGAACTAGAAGGCCAGACTACTGGTGGGGTGGGTTAAGGTTTTTCTGGGACAGTGAGGCCTCCTAAAACAACATCACCTGTACTCTGCACCAAGCCCTCTGTTAACAGGAAAATGAAGGGTAGTTGTAATGGAAAACACCCTTCTAAAGCAAATGGAGGACTCGATATGCAGACTGGACCCAGCTCACAGAGAAGTCTGATGCCTCCAGGGACTAGAATAAGAGACATTATTAAATATAATATGGGAATAATAATATGATATGGGAAGAATACAGAGATGGTGCTTGTCGCTATAGGGAGAAAACTCATGGGGCCAAAGCTCTACTGGAGTTGAAGCTGGCCAGAAATGTGGAGGACAATAAAAGCAGGAGGACTATGACTGCAAGAGTGATCAACTCCCAGTTGACCCTAAACTTGTGTGGGATTTGCTGCTCCAGCTGGATCCCTACAAATCAATGGGGCCTGAAGGGATTAATTCAAGACTTCTCAAAGAGCCAGTTAATGTCATCACAAAACCTCTCTTGATATGTTTTGATTGGTCTTGGGAATCCAAAGCAATTCCAGCTTACTGGAAGCTGGCAAACCTTGTTACAATTTTAAAGAAGGGCAAGAAAGAGGACCCCAGGAACTACAGGACTGACAGTTTCCCTTTAGTGCCTGGTGAAGCTACAGAAAAGGTTATGCTAGGAATTATTGAAAAACACCTGAAAGACAACATCATGAATGCTCACAGCCATCTTGATTTCATGACAGGAAAATCCTGTTACTATCAAACTTGATTTCCTTTTATGACCCCCTTGAGACCTTGGGTTGGTTGCCACACTATAAGAAATATATTAAGCTGTTAGAGAGCATCCAGAGGAGGGCAGCAAAGATGGTGAAGGGCCTTGAGAGGACACCACATGAGGAGTGACTGAGGTCACTTGGTCTGTTCAGCCTGGAGGAGGCTGAGGGGAGACCTCACTGCAGTTACAGCTTCCTCATGAGGGAACCAAAGGAATGGCCTGAAGTTGTATCAGTGAAGGTTTAGGTTGGTTATTAGAAGAAGGTTCTTCACCCAGAGGGTGGTTGGGCGCTGGAACAGGCTCCCCAGGGAAATTGTCACAGAACCAAGCCTGACAGAGTTCAGTAAGAGTCTGCACAATGCTCTTGGGCACACGGTGTGGCTCTTGGGGATGGTGCTCTGCAGGGACAGGAGTAAGACTTGATGATCCTTGTGGGTCTCTTCCAATTCAGCATAATTCTGTGATTCAATGATTTATTTCCTATTTTCAGATTAGGCATATGGTGTGTACTACTAAAAAATTAATTACAATTCTAGGGAGAGTTAGGGTTGGACTCAACAATAAGATTTCACACTCACACCCATCATGCAAAAAATGTAGTCTATTGCAAACTGCAAAGAACTGAAGAAAATAAATATCATGGTTTTGGTTTTGTGTCCAGATGAAGCTGGTTGATCATGCACAATTAACAGTCATGTCCCACAGGCCAGATGCCTCAGCAGCTGAAGTCTGCTCTTCTATTATTTGCCGAAGAGCAAGTAAAACCAGAACTATTTGTACTTTCTGAACAACAGTCAATATTTCCTCCACGATTCTAAAAATCACACTTCTCTGGATAAGGTTCTGCTAGTCTGGTATTCAATCTACCGATAATGGGCTTCATTAACCATATTATTGCCTTGGTACTTTAAAGCAAAATCTTAAAATAAATGAAATCCATCAATCCCCCAGACTAAAGTCCTGGTTTCAGTCACAACAGGAGAAGAAAAATCAATGGGAGCTTCTCTGCACTAGTGGCATCAACTTCAAGAAGATGGAGACTAGGAGTGAGGTATGGAGAATCAGAAATGAACAAGGTAACCTAAATGAAGACACACCATCTGTTTAAAAGCAATGATGTCTGCCTTGTTAGTTGCAAACATTCAGTTTTTAAGGTTTTAAGACATACTTATAACAAACAAAGTTCAAATTTCATAAACAATGGGATTCATTTATAGCCAACTTGGACTGAACTTGTAGTCAATAATCAGTACCAATAAACTAAATTAGGTAGAGGATATGAGACTCATTCTTCTGTTTCTGCAATTGTATGTATGCAAGAATATAATGTATATAGATGTATTTCTCTATCTATTTACCCACCTTGTTTTAATACAGATCATCTGTGATCTGTTCTCATCAAAAAAGGAACTTAGGCCCTAGGTGTAAGCCTATGTCTTAAGCCATCCCGTTTTTCAATTCCTTCTTTGATTTCAATGCCAAGACCTCATGTCAACACTGCCTGTAAATGGATTTAAGGAAGATGTTAACCATCTATTCTTTGAAAGTGTCTCCTAAATATATCCCCTCTATTTCATGCACTTTTTCATACAGAAAAAATTTAGCTGTTTCTCTGCTAGTCCTTATTAGTTACATTATTAAATATAATTCTGAAAGCAGAAGACCAGTCTTTGGGTTAGATGCATATTCAGTCCTTGGTTTTTTGGTTTTGTTGAGAATCATGTGGATAAAGAATGGTATGTGCTACTTGGATTTCTGAAAGGTGTTTTAGACTCCTAAAGTTTAAATCTAACTTCACATTCAAAATGAGGGGCTCTAAGGTGACCATTGCTGCTCAGGAAACAGATCATGGGGTAGTGATACATATTACCAAGAATCTGCTAATGCAATGCTCAGTATCAATCAGAAAAGAAAAATCAACACTCAATATAATCAGGGAAGATAAAAAGCCAGAGAACATAATTGTCCCAGATCATTAATCCAATTACATCTTGACTACTGATTGCAGATGTGAATCTTTATTTCAAAAGGGAAATAGGGAAAAGCCAAAGAAGTTGAACAAGAATTTTCAAAGCCATGGAGTGCTGTTTCCAAGTGAAAAATTATAAACACAATACTCTAAAGAACAGGACTCTTCAGCCAGGAAGAGAGATGCCTGAGGGGACTAATGACCAATTTGCATAAAATCAAAATTCACATAAAGATAGAAAATTTTATATGGCTCTAAGCAGAAAACTGGGCGAGTTCATGAATGAGAAAGACCATAGAATAGTTCCAGATTCACAGAAACTACACTTAAGTGTGGAAGCCTTTGAGCTTTGAACAGCTGGATTCAGAATGAATAAAAATGGAAACAAAATACATGTCAGTTCTGTTCATAGAGTCTGCCCTATGCATTTTACTTTGGCCATTGTTGCAATGTCTGTAGCTGGGCTAGACTGACCTTCGGTCTTGACCAGAATGGTTCATTTTATATTCTAAAATTCTCATGGTTTTCTGAGCAGTCTGAGGGACTTGAATAGGAAAGTTAACTACTAACTAATAGGAAAGTTAACACTAACATTTCCAGGGACAGAAATGTGTGTCCTTTCCATAAAACAAATTAAAAGAATGGTAGTGATGTGCAAATAAAAACAGATAAAAAGCCAAGTTTGTTGTTAGGAGAGGTTCAATAAGGAAGGTGGCAATGAAAGAATACATTGAAGAATGTGAGGGAAAGATGATGAAAGAGCTTTTACCTGGCCCACGGAACTGGTCTGGTAATTAATGAATATCACAGCAACCTCCTCAAGATGGTTCAAATGCCATACTTGTATCATTAATGACTACACTCTATTCTATTAAAAAGATGGATTTAGCCACAGAGATAAAATGTGGAAAAGGATGTTGGAAGCAACTGATATAGAGGGAAATTAAGTACTGTTAATTTTTTTCCCAGAAATCAGAAAGCTGTATGCCATAATGAATACAAGTAATCCTAAAGGCAGCAATCACATCTGCTTATGTATAACAAGCAACAGCAGGTACTGACCCAGTGCACTGATGGTAATGATAAGAGGAAAAAAACACCCATTGTACTGACTGAGGCAGTATTAATAGCATTTTACTTAACAGCAGTTCTCTTCGACAGACTGAGTGCTACTAATCTTTCTGTTTTTAAAATAAAGACTATTTACTTTTAAAAGGGGCGTTCTATGTTTTCACAGAGAATGACAAAACAAATTACTTATTTTCCATGACTTCATACAAACACTTTGATGCTTAAACTGCATGTGAACAGTTAATCCTCCTATACTGATGTGTTCCTGGTAAAAGAGTTTCACACTGTCTCAGGGGACAGATCTAAATCAAAATCGGACATATTTTATTTTTAGCCTCAAAGCTGCAATGCTAAATGCAAATAAATCAAATAAATAAATCAAAGCAGGTTTGTATATAGTACTCCTGAAGTTTGCCTTTATAGTCAATATATTGAAAACACATAAACCAGAAACCAAACTTCATTGACTTTCAAGTACAGTACTCCTTTCTTTTCTGAGGTAGGTAAAAACAAATGGCTATCTGTATTGCACAGATATTTTTTTTAAGAGTTGATTTAA